TAACCTAGGGAGGACTGCAGTGAGTCCAACACTACAAGAACGTTTTTTTTAGTGGGTTTTTTTCCAGACTGTTTTCCCCCAGGGATGGGGGGGGGGGGGGGAAGAGGGGAAAGCACTTAAAATGTTCTAATTGGGGGGGGGGGGGGGCTATTTCGTAAAATACAAAGTAGACTCGCGGGCTTAGCAACAATTTCAATAAAATGTGATTACGCTTGCAAACTAGAATTGAATGAATTACTACAAACTTTTGAGAAGAAGGAGGCAAGTAAAATTTGATTTTGATGTCTACTTATAACGTGTATGCAATTGACAATAAATTACTATGTCACTTTTAATGGATATGTATTAGTAATTAATTTGTTTGAAAGGGGGACGTTTTAATAAGTTTTGCCTAGGGCGCTAAATAACCTAGTGCCGGCACTGCCTCTACCTACTATCAAATTTTGAGTAATTTCTGTTGACTGGAAGTAGAAATTTACGCTATTTCCGATTTCTCAAAAAAACGCATGTAAATTTATAAAGAACTAATAATATTCCGCACTATTATGCACATTTTGTTTTGGCGTTCGCTTGGTGTGCAATTATTTTTTCTACGAGATTTTATTCTATTTTAAAAAACATCAAGTATTTAAAATGGAGTTCCTATCCCCTGTTGTTTTAAATAAGAATATTCGAGAAAGTTTAGGGGAGATCACTCCTGGTTTATTTTAAATATGAGAAATTGCTGTAAAAAAATTCTTTATTCTTCAATAAATGTTAGGTGATGTTGGCGGCGGTGTCTTAACATTTTTACCGCAATTTCCATCCTGGAGAATTGCGTTTATTAACTCGTCTTTTCTGGGAATGGATGAATGGATGGATGTGTGTCCGCAGCTTTAAGTCGTATCTCCTCCTCAACGAAGCAATATCGAGGACTAGTTCCAAAAGCAATAATGTTAAGCAAGTTACGAGGATGAACATAGGCCAAAAAAATTCCGGGTTTCTTTCATGGATTTCCCGGAAAAGCCAAAAAAACCTCGAAAAAATGCATTTTTTGGCCCATATCTCGGCAACCAGACCACTTAGCGACTTGAAACATGTACCAATCGATTCCTGCCATAATTGAGAACAATATTGCCGAAGAAAGTTTTCAAAAATATCCTTTCGTTCGGTCACAAAAAAGTTTTTGAATTAATTAAAATTTGGTCCGAATTAGTAGGCATTGTATGCAACCACACCACACGCGTTTTCACGTTCAATAGCTGCGCCATCACGTTCAATGGCTGCGACGTCACGTTCGGTAGCTGGGCGCGCAATGGTTTTTAGTCATGTTACTCTATTGTAAATAAAACATGTAAAATACTGAATTTTTTTAAAATAAAAAACGTTTTAATAACTAACCAATGGTTTTACTAACCCTGCTCTTGTTTTACGCTACGACAGAGCTATTTTTAGATAACACAAGGAAATTGCGCTAAAATTGTCACTAGACTTTTTTAAATTACTTGTTTTTAATGTAAGGTATAAACACCTTGTTTTGTCGACGTGTTGCGGTGTTTATATTTTGCTTATAACACGGTGTAGGCGGCGCGGCGTCTCCCAACAGTGAGCAGAGGCGCGATTGTTTGTTTATCTTGTTCGAGCCGACCCGCGTCGTATCATTCGCCGCTATTTAGTTGTTTTATTTTCTACGTTTCAGTAATTCATAATTTGTGAATTCGACAGTACCACTGCTGTCACTGAAAATATTTGCTTTAAAACACTATCAGTAAGTCGTTAAGGATGATAACCCCCCTCCTTTCCACCAATCCCTAACCCCCCCCCCCCCCTTGAAAACAGCCTCCTCTTAGCTACCTCCCCTAAGTTTAAAAACGTTTTAAACTAAATTATCTGCCCCTAATAGCCGTCACTAAACCCGGTTCTACTATTGTAAACATTTAGCGTGAACCACAGCTCTCACCAGAATTCCCTAGAGAGGAAGAGAGGGGACTGCAAGGCGCGCTTACAGCTTGTTTTCTAACGTCTCCAAGAAGAGAATTATATATATAGATGCTTAACTTGTGTGGTGATCATTTAACAAAAGAATGAGGCGAAGTCTATGTGGCGAATTAGAAAACTTAAGGTAGTCTATTATTTCCGATCTCCATTTAATGCACCTTGTTTAGAAAAAGTGTTAAAGCGATCACTTAACAAAGAAAGTCTGATTCATTTAACAATCCAAGATTAAAGTAATTGGTTTTTGGTCCTGTTTCATAGATAGGAAAGAAAATATGTTTGTACGCTTTTTATATAGCGAATACAAATTAATTAAGAATAAGAATGTCTGCGAGTAATATATTGTATAAATTATTTTCACTATATTTTCGTTATGGCGTGTATTGTTTATCAAATTTTCAAATTTAAAGTGATTAAGAATGACTATTTGGAAAAATATATTGTTACCTTTTTTCGGGCAAACGGCGTTCGGGCAAGTGTCCATTCGAGCATTTTTTCCATTCGGGCAAGTGTCCATTCGGGTATTTGTCCCATTCGGGCAAGTGTCCATTCGAGCATTAGTCGCATTTGGGCAAGTGTCCATTCGGGCATTTGTCGCATTCGGGCAAGTGTCCATTCGGGCATTTGTCGAATTCGGGCAAGTGTCCATTCGGAAAATCGGCCTTCGGGCAAACGGCATTCGGGCAAGTGTCTTTCGAGAATTAGTCGTAGATCCAGCAGACACATGTATGCTAACATCTCAAGAAACGTATCATGACCTTCATAAAGACATTCAGCAAGACTTATTTTACCTGACACAAAGACACATGATTAAATATAGAAATACACGCGAAACCTTTTTTTTTTCTTTCAAAAATTCGCTGCAAATTTTATACACAGGTAGATCTATTAAATGGTGTATTCTTATTTCTGTGCATGATCCCTACTGTTAACAGCCTACATATTCGATTAAGGATGTTTCGTGAATATCCTTATTCTAATGCTTGTGTAATGAATTAATTATCCTTTCATTACGAGAACTGTGTATAAGTGTGAAAATAGATATAACTAACAGAACAAGGTTAAAGTGGATTGAATGCTAAAAGATTGACAATCGCGTAAGAATTTTTATAGTTGTCACTCAGCATAACAGTCGTCAAGATTTAACCTCCGCTACCTACCCTTCGGGCAAAACAAACAGCAGGAATAGAAAACGTTAGGCAAATAAAAGCTGCTCAAAGCTAGTTCAAAGCTGGTTAAATAAGATTTTAACATTTAACTGCAGTTAGTGTTGAAGGAGAGAAGAGTACCTTAGTCCACTTCTAGAAAAGAAATTTTGTTTTTGTGTCTGATATAGACGGCAGGATGAAGCAAAATGGGTGCGGTAATACATGTTTTCAGGACCCTACAGTGTTATACTATTTTTATGAACCCTACATTTTATAGTAGTCATCTGAACCCTACACTGTTATAGTAGTCATCTGAACCCTACACTGTTATAGTATTCATCTGAACCCTACACAAGTATTTTGAATCCTACTCTGGTATTCCAGTCATATGAGCCTACACTGATATAATAGTTTTCTGAACACTAAACTGTTATACCAGTCATATGAACCCTACCCTTTTCGACCCGGCATTAGTGTGAGATGGAATGTTTATGTATTAGTTGTGTTTGGCCCTACATTAGTGTGACGTGAAATCTGTATGTTTCTTACTTGACAGGCCTATATAAATATATATATATATATATTCCCCCTTTTATTGAAAGTGGACATTTAACATAATATCCTTATTTTAAAGCTAACTACCATCCATTTCTTTACCAAAATAAAGAAGAAAATAATGACAATCTACCTTACATGTTACTATATCATTTATTTTCTGCTCACAGTATGTTATTTAATGTGGAACATATTTTCCTATATTTTATACAAATAGCGTGTAATATATTTAGTTTAGAAATGTAGGCCTACAATAAACACATATCAAAGAAAAGTAAACTAAGAAATAAACCGGTCTTTCATCTCTCAAAACTAAACTAACTTCAGAATACCGCGTGGAAGGTGCTAGACTATTCCAGCTTTAGAAAGGAGTGGTTAAATTCGATCGCTTTTGTTGACATTACGTGTAATGTTTACTCCTACTTCTTACAATTCGTTTACTATTTAGGTATGTAGGGAATGTTTTAAAGGATAAGTGAATAAATTCGTCCTATTAAAGGTATGTAGGAAATGTTGAAGAGGATAGGTGGGTAGATTTATCCGATAAAGATGTGTAGGGGACACTAGGGTAGGTGGGTAAAATTTTAAGATTAGAATGTGTTTTAAATGCGTATTGTCCTTTACACATATATTTATTTATTTAGTATCACTACTCAAACTGTGAGAAAAATAATCAATGTCACTCAAATAAACAAAACGACTATTTAAATTGCAGCAATTAAAAACCAAAATGTTTAATTTCATAATTTATGAACGATTTAAAACAACAAATAAGTTAAAATATAACTGAAAATCAATGAAACCCTAAAATATAGGACATAATAATACGCTTAAAAATACACGCAAAGAGAGGATAACAGTGCGGTTAAACACGTAAGTAAAAATGAAAGACGTAAGTCGCAGAACTTAGAATATATTGCTCTGGTTGTTTTGATTAGACAATATTGATTGTACACACAATTTTATTAGTGTTCTTGCGCTATTCAAAAAAGTAGGTGCTTTCAAGTTCAAACATCAATTCACACATATGACAACACACATATAGGGGAGGGGTTTAAATTATTGGGAGGGTTAGCTACAATTAGTGAGAGTTAGGTTTCAAATGGTAAACTACAGATATAACTTTAATTTTTAATTTTTAAATTCCTAAGAACTTTTTAAGAGGAAGGTAGTCGAACTCTTAAACTGGTCATTTAAGGAGGGAGAAGGGGGCGGGGTTGAGATGCTTCTGTTAGATATTTTAGAATAAAGTTGCCTTTTCGAAAGTGAGCAAGGGGAAGTGAGGTAGAGTTCACCTGTTTCTATCGCTTCAGTTGGTATTATAATCTGCTGTAATGTATGAGTATTTGAATTACGCATGTCTCAAATACGATTGGTTGATAGCTAATAATGGTGTGATGACGGAACGTAGGTACGCTAACCACATCAGGCCGTCGTGTATGCCGGTGTAAACGACGACAGGAAGGAAGAGGTCAGAGTTCTCCAAGAGGTTTAGGTCATAGGTCACGTAGAATATAGCTTGTGGTAACACTAGGAAAAAGAACAGAAATGCAAGGGAAAGAATTGTGTTTTTTTCATAGTTGCGTCCCTTGACGACATAGTTAAATTGTGTGTTGTTCATTGCTGGCGTACTGGGAGGTGGATATTGTTGTGGATAATTGTTATAAGGTGCTGTCTGTGGTGGGTAATTATACTGTGGGGTACTTTGAGGTGTATAGTCATTTTGCTGGTCTTGATGCTTGTGGTAACCAACACACACAGGTGCATCTTGTGTTTCCCATTGTGACGACTGGATAGAAAAGGCCTGGTTTTGCTGTGGGGTCAGCTCTATCTGCTGTTGTGGAATGAGATCCTTCTTAACGCATGATGCACAGATAGCTGTAACAATGGCTATGACCGCGGGTAGAATAAAGGACAAAATATACACAGCGTGAAGCCTGGAGATTTCGTACCACCCGTTACAAGTGTCAAAGTCGATTCCAACTATCGCCAGTGGTAGTATAATCGCTAGACCAAGCATCCAAGGGATGCAACTGATGAACATCCCGCTTAATATATCTGTTTGAGTTTTCGTTCTTTGTCTGTTTGATCTACAGCGGTGAATATACTCAGCTGATAAAGTAACGAGCCCAGTCCCATGGACAAAATTAAGAAGGAAGGTTTTGTAAACGGCAGCAGTGATTGTTAAACGGCAGCCTGCTTCTCTTTGTGATAAATCTTGAAACAGTACCCAAGTTTGTATCACCAATGAATAAAGAGCCAGGAAAATGTCACCTATGGACAACGACACCAGTAAGAGATATTTAGCGCTGTAGAAAAATTGTTTCTGGCTCCAAATTCTGAAGATCAGCGCCCCGTTGCTAAGTACAATGAGGATTATGAAAACGATGTGAAGAGCTTTGGTAGTTTTAACGTAAGCATCATCGTCAAAGTATATGTTGAATGGTATCGCCATTGCTATTTGTTAACAGTCTGTGTTGAACAACTGAAATAATAACCATACAATAAATGTGATTATATCATCAGTGTATATGGTTGCACATTAAAATCAGCCACTTCAGCTTCATAACATAATATTGTGAAAATAGTTTATCGCTATTATCGTGATTATAAATGAAGCAGATAAAAGTAGGTTTTCACACATGTCAAAAGAAAACAAATAGCGCATACACATTTTAAAACATATACAATAAAACGATCGAGTGATGTACTATGACTGTTAAATCAAGTAGTTCTTATACCATAGAATCATGTATGTTGAGTTATTTTCACCAGAATGAAACGGGTGTTACTATATTGTATTTTAAACCGATGGGGGTTCATAGTACACCTCCACACATTCCTTCTCTATCCCGTTCGCTTTGATCGCTTTTTATTCGGCCATTTCGTATTTAAAAATAATTAAACATCTTAACTCGAAGAGCAATTAATACTTGAATAAATATAATGAAATATGTTATCATTTAACTGTATTCTGGGTGGACTCAGAGACGGTCTACTGACTTGAACCCGGATTCGAACTCGAGACTTACCGGTTAGCAGTCCAGCTCACGTTAGTGTAAGTAAAGGCGGCTTGCCATAGAGCTGACCATACTATCTTTTCCTATGCCGAGGTCACAGAAACAAGTGAACTCTACTTCAGTAGCCACGTAGAACTTCATGTTTGAACAGGAGCTTTACTTAACTGTGTTCTAGTTATGACAACTAATGATCTGGTTCCAGTGTACGTAGTAGAGTGACTGTATGTTTCTACGGGCGTTTGTTAGCGCAGACAGAGCCTGAAGGGCTGTACAAATTAAAGGCTAATTGTAATTCTATAGATACATCTTGACGCATATGTTTTATCTCCATAACCGCGATCTATTTCTAGTTGGCCTATCTGTAATATTTTAGATTAAATAGTTACTGTGGTCATTTCACTCAAAAGATCATAATATGTCCAATCTATGAAGTATCGGAACCGTTTGTTTCTTAATTACCTTATTTCAATATGCTTCTTCGTGATTATTTTTTCTTAGTAGATAAAACGAAAATATGACTAAAAAGACAACTTTTTCAATTGTATATTCCTTGATTTGATTAACGTTTTCCTAATTACGTAATAATAATCAATTACCCATCGATTGTCAAATACAATTCAAATATTGAACATATTTTTTTACGTACCAAAATGTTTTAGGTTCCACTTGTAAATCTCTACTATTGTATTTTATGTGTCTGATTTATTTGCGGTAGGCCTAATTGTAAATGAAATAAATCCACCTATTAAAATTGTCGCGGACAAAAATTGTAAATTTATTTTATACTATTTTAAACAAACCAAAATAAAGGTATCCCTATCTAAAATGTAGTATGTGTTTAACATTTCGAAAAATGTAATTACATTTTGAGTATTATACCGTTAAATAAAACCTCTCATCAAATTAGAAAGAATTTTTTTTAAATACCTTCAATCAAAACTTTCAGGTAACTTCGTCGTCACTTCTCTTTGAGGTAATGGAGAGATATTACAATATAGGCAAGTGGTGAAATGTGTGACGTCACTACCTGGTGTAACACCTTCGTTTGTCTTGTATTAGATCCGTCACAAAGTGCTGAGAAATGAGCTACGACTTAATTTATTACTGTACCTAAGTCGCTCATCAATTGCATATTGGTGAAACAAAGGCATATCCTAATCAGTGTTTAAAAATAATTGTGAAATATTTTCGTCTAAAAATAGACTCCGTCCTATTTTTTAGTCTTTACGCATGTGACGCATGCATTATCAGTGTATCTTGGTTTAAAATAACTTTAAGTCGGCCAAAGACTTGATAAGAGTTGTGTAATGTAGATATCTTCATGGTAAAAATAAGTTTAGAACTATTGACTAAATTCTTTTGTATTGAAAACATGAAGATCTAATTTTAAAATAATTCAAGTTCTCTGCAAGACAGTTTATCAAATCGTAACATTTACATTGTGTAAGCTAGCGTCATAGAGATGATCACGTGTCTAATGATGTAGAAAACATCTCAACTAAAGGCTGGTCCTGACGTCAAACAACAAAATCTGACGTCACGGTATGGACACATTTTTCCTACCCATGCATTTTGTGTATCTAATATATAAAGCTCAGTTCTGTAACGTGTGGCAAAAAAAAGTTTGTCGTTGACAGTTCTACGGATTTAAGTGTTAGATTTTTTATCGTGCTCATAGTCTAAATTTACGAGTCAAAAAATTACCATTGAAAGTCTTTAAAAACAATGTTCACTCTATTTACTTAGAAGAATAATTTTCAATTATGAACGCGACATAAAATGTTTAAAAAGTGTATCGACGTTTATAAAATTTCTAAAATTGTGTCGGAAATGTATTAACTGCACAGTTACTCCCCTTTAATAAAAAAAATTCTTAAAAAGAAAGAATTTACATTTTATTACTTTGTTTTTGGTGTTAAGAAATAAAAAAAAATTACATAATTAGCGGGGATTGATTAAGTGCAATGTCGTTAGGTATTTTTAACACTGCCTTTTATTTATTCTATACACTGAACATACTGTTCAATAATTTTTTTTTTTTTAAATCAATAACATTTAATAAGCCAGGTCCTACAAATCCTATATGTTTATTTCTTTCCATTTACGGATAAGCTTGGAGTATTATCATTTTTGTTCACTAAATTGAAACAGGCGCGTCCGCCGGCGCCCTTGCACGGTTCGATTTGGCACCCTGGGCTATCATGTGAGCGCTATGCTGCATAATTTTGTTTTTAACAGTGCGATAGACTATGGATAAGAAAGGTTACTATAGTCTTTAAGTGAATCAAATCCGGGCGTCCTCCGGCACCCCGACAGGGTGCTATTTGGCGCCCCGGGCCTTCCGGTGTACGCTATGGTATATACGTTCGCGTGAGTTCAAAAGACTATGAATAAGTTATGTACTATAGTCGTTTACTAAGTTCAATCAGGCGGTGACGTCATGGTGCGTCCTCTGGCGCCCAGACAGGGTGCTATTTGGGGTCCCGGGCCTCCCGTGTTCGGTTTCGCGCCTACGTTCATTAAAGTGAGTGCAAAAGACTATGAATAAGTTGGGGTACTATAGTCGTTTATTAGGCTGAAACAGGCGATTCAGCCCCGTGAGCACTTTGCGTTTATATTCGCGTTAGTGTTTTCTTTGTGTTTAGGTTGGGTTTGCGTTAGTGGTTGCGTTTTGATTTGGTTCGTTTTTGTTCTTTCTTTTTTCGATTTCGTTTGTGTTTTATTTTCATTGGGTTTGTGTTTGTGTTTGAGGTTGGTTTTGTGTTTGGATTTGGTTTGTTTTCTTTTGTTTTTTCTTTTGTGTTTTTTTCTTTGGGTTTGTGGTTGGTTTTGCGTTTGGATTTGGTTTGTTTTCGTTTGCTTTTTCGTTTGTGTTTTTTCTTTGGGTTTGTGTTTGTGTTTGTGGTTGGTTTTGTGTTTGGATTTGGTTTGTTTTCGTTTGCTTTTTTCTTTGTGTTCGTATTGGTGTTTGTGGCTGTGGTTGGTTTGTTGTAAGTTTTTGTTTTTGTTTGTATTTGTAATTGTGTTAGCGTTATGTTTGCGTTTTGTTGTTTTGGTTTTGGTTGGTTGTGGTTTGGGTGGGCAATGCCGGGTTTATGATGATTACTAAACACACAGGTGATGGTCTTTAACAGAAGGGTTTTTCACAGAAGCCAGAGCAGGGCCTGGCCGGGACGGCTAGTCTAGTATATAAAGCTCAGTTCTGTAACGTGTGGCAAAAAAAAGTTTGTCGTTGACACTTCTACGGATTTAAGTGTTAGATTTTTTATCGTGCTCAAAGTCTAAATTTACGAGACGAAAAATTACCATTGAAAGTCTTTAAAAACAATTTTCATTTTATTTACTTAGAAGAATAATTTTCAATTATGAACGCGACATAAAATGTTTAAAAAGTGTATCGACGTTTATAAAATTTCTAAAATTGTGTCGGAAATGTATTGACTGCAAAGTTACTTCCCTTTAATGAAAAATAAATCCTTAAGTAAGAAGAGAGAATTAACATTTTATTACTTTGTTTTTGGTGTTAAGAAAAAAAAAATAATTACACAATTAGCGGGGATTGATTAAGGGCAATGTCGTTAGGTATTTTTAACACTGCCTTTTATTTATTCTATACACTGAACATACTGTTCAATAATTATTATTTTTTTTTTAAATCAATAACATTTAATAAGCCAGGTCCTACAAATCATATACGTTTATTTCTTTCCATTTACGGATCAGCTTGGAGTATTATCATTTTTGTTCACTAAATTGAAACAGGCGCGTCCGCCGGCGCCCCTGCACGGTTTGATTTGGCACCCTGGGCTATCATGTGAGCGCTATGCTGCATAATTTTGTTTTAAACAGTGCGATAGACTATGGATAAGAAAGGTTACTATAGTCTTTAAGTGAATCAAATCCGGGCGTCCTCCGGCACCCCGACAGGGTGCTATTTGGCGCCCCGGGCCTTCCGGTGTACGCTATGGTATATACGTTCGCGTGAGTTCAAAAGACTATGAATAAGTTATGTACTATAGTCGTTTACTAAGTTCAATCAGGCGGTGACGTCATGGTGCGTCCTCTGGCGCCCAGACAGGGTGCTTTTTGGGGTCCCGGGCCTCCCGTGTTCGGTTTCGCGCCTACGTTCATTAAAGTGAGTGCAAAAGACTATGAATAAGTTGGGGTACTATAGTCGTTTATTAAGTTGAAGTAGGCGATTCAGCCCCGTGAGCACTTTGCGTTTATATTCGCGTTAGTGTTTTCTTTGTGTTTAGGTTGGGTTTGCGTTAGTGGTTGCGTTTTGATTTGGTTCGTTTTTGTTCTTTCTTTTTTCGTTTTCGTTTGTATTTTATTTTCATTGGGTTTGTGTTTGTATTTGTGTTTGAGGTTGGTTTTGCGTTTGGATTTGGTTTGTTTTCGTTTGTTTTTTCTTTTGTGTTTTTTTTCTTTGGGTTTGTGGTTGGTTTTGCGTTTGTATTTGGTTTGTTTTCGTTTGCTTTTTCGTTTGTTTTTTTCTTTGGGTTTGTGTTTGTGGTTGGTTTTGTGTTTGGATTTGGTTTGTTTTCGTTTGCTTTTTTCTTTGTGTTCGTATTGGTGTTTGTGGTTGTGGTTGGTTTGTTGTAAGTTTTTGTTTTCGTTTGTATTTGTAATTGTGTTAGCGTTATGTTTGCGTTTTGTTGTTTTGGTTTTGGTTGGTTGTGGTTTGGGTGGGCAATGCCGGGTTTATGATGATTACTAAACACACAGGTGATGGTCTTTAACAGAAGGGTTTTTCACAGAAGCTAGAGCAGGGCCTTGCCGGGACGGCTAGTACAGTATATAGTCATTGATACTTGCAGTTACCCTAGTGAGATACAGAATGGGAAAACGTAAAGTCACACAAGCATATGTTGAAAACTATGTGAAATACACAATGGCAAAAATAAACATAGATAGGGAAAACGATTTAGCGGGACTTTTATTTTCTGTAGTATAGATTTTTTTTTATAACTGCAAAATAACAATATCCCATTATTACCACCCCATACTTTTTATAGTCTTTTAACCCCAATGAATCCCTGTTTCTTAGACCCGAACTGCCGTCCTATCCCATTGGAACATCCATTTATGACGTCCATTCATGATAGGAGAGGGGGTGGGAGAATAGCACTGGTCGTGTTTTGCAGAATGGACGAGGGGGGGGGGGGTTGCTTAGCGGTACCTTTCACGCATCAAATATAATTTTAGAATACCACAACAAAATAAAGCAACTAAAATACACATATTTTTAAAACCCGTAGGATGGGTTCGTGTTTACATCTGTATATCTACTCCATTTGAGATGATAAAACGTATTTTTAGTACTGAGGAATTAATTTAATCAGCACAGCTGAAAATGCATTGTATAAATCTTACGAAATGCGGTATCATTACATTGTTTTCTAGCTATTAATTCATCTTATTTTCTGTTTCCAGTTATATTTTTACAAGCACTGTGTGCTAATGTATGGGCCAGTGAAGATTTTTACACAAAAAAAATCGAAATATAATTGTATAGATAAATTTTGGCTGAGATAAAAATACCACAAGTGTATTATGGCCTTGACCTACTTCTAGCTGGACAATCTATAATCAAGCTACGTCAATTGAAAGATTTGTCCAATGTGAGGTCAGCATTGACGGCTGTCACAGTAAACATAATCAGCTGATATACTTCTGAATATATCATTTATGAAGGACACACGACTTCAAAAATATAGAGCATATTGCAATGATCAAATTCTAAAGTAATTAAAAAAACAATAAACGCGAATATTAAAAAATGTGACTTTCTTCACATCTGAGTGTAGCTTTATATGTGTGTGGCGTCATATATATGTGACTTCACGCCTATGTCTGGCTTTACATCTGTCTATATTGACAATCTGCTATATTACGGACCTTGATACTACTGGTAACACAACAATATGTTAGGGACCTTGATACTACTGGTAACACAACAATTTGCTATGTTAGGGACTTTGATACTACTGGTAACACAATAATATGTTAGGGACCTTGATACTACTGGTAACACAACAATTTGCTATGTTAGGGACTTTGATACTACTGGTAACACAATAATATGTTAGGGACCTTGATACTACTGGTAACCCAACAATTTGCTATGTTAGGGACTTTGATACTACTGGTAACACAATAATATGTTAGGGACCTTGATACTACTGGTAACACAATAATATGTTAGGGACCTTGATACTACTGGTAACACAATAATATGTTATGGACCTTGATACTACTGGTAACACAATAATATGTTAGGGACCTTGATACTACTGGTAACACAACAATTTGCTATGTTAGGGACTTTGATACTACTGGTACACAATAATATGTTAGGGACCTTGATACTACTGGTAACACAACAATTTGCTATGTTAGGGACTTTGATACTACTGGTAACACAACAATTTGCTATGTTAGGGACTTTGATACTACTGGTAACACAACAATTTGCTATGTTAGGGACTTTGATACTACTGGTAACACAATAATATGTTAGGGACTTTGATACTACTGGTAACACAATAATATGTTAGGGACCTTGATACTACTGGTAACACAATAATATGTTATGGACCTTGATACTACTGGTAACACAATAATATGTTAGGGACTTTGATACTATTGGTAACACAACAATTTGCTATGTTAGGGACTTTGATACTACTGGTAACACAACAATTTGCTATGTTAGGGACTTTGATACTACTGGTAACACAACAATTTGCTATGTTAGGGACTTTGATCTTGACCATTGGTTCTTATATTTTAAAATATGCAACGAAAACTTGTCATGAAAAATTAACAGTAATTTAATTATGTCTACCCATGCATACCAATAAAAACTATGTACACCCTTGTGACGTATCTTATAATCTATACGTGCTTCAAAGACCAAGTTCGACTCTACAGTTAGTAGGCCTAAGTTCAACTTGAATTTTTTTTTTCACAGAATGGGTAGAGCCGCCCCAGACCTCTTTGCACCCACGTTAAAAAATGTCATACTAGATTCTAGTCCAGTCTCAATATCCAGGTAGCTGGGGATATTTCTAGATCAGCAGTTCTTAGACTTTTGGGAGTTGCATTTGTGTATTGTATGTATCACATTAATTCAGGACTGTATAAAGCTTTCATAATCTGGTCAGAAAGAACCAAATGATATTGGTGAACATGTATTTGTACAGTACATTTTTTCAATAGTTGTAATTATTGCAATTAGAAAGAGAAACTTTGGTTAGGTTTTTTGACAATAAAAAACGTTACATATCTAAGTAAATAAGGCGGGGTAGGGTTGTTGTTTGAGAATTTTATGACTAAGTAATACGAAGGAGACGCGATTCAATAGAAATACATCAAAATTTAATTAACATTGGAACATAAATAAACTTACAAAACACTACACACTATATAATATTTCTCAGGCAAAAAACAAAGACAGTATTTTACATTTCTAAATGTTATATGAAAATGTTTTTCTTGACTGTCTTCTTATGTATTTCAACATGAAATATCCACAAGGCATTAAAAATAACTTAACATAATTCTCCTTTCGTCAAAGTCTGCACCCCTTGAAGTATGACTTACAATGAGGTTAGTCGAAGTGTGTTTACCCTAAGCAAACTACATTCTGTCATCTTGGGGCCAAAGATGAAAAATGTGCCTTTTAGTAACTACCTGGGATAATCTTTAAGTTGGTCCTATTTGAAAAATAAAAAAAACTGCTATTGCTAGTGTAATCGACGAAAAAAATTTCTGTCTTTACTATGCGTCATCAGAAAATTGAAAAACTACTACGGTATATATGACAAGCACTTGCTATAATTGTAGTATTTACATTGTCGTTTTCCAGAAAAAATAAAGATCTAATCAATACGAGGTGAAAACTGTATATAAAAAATTCAACTACAGTTGATTTTAAAAAAACATATTTATTTACATTGTTTTATTGTCTAGAAATATGTATGTAAATAGAGACATATATATCATATATATATATATATATATATATATATATATATATATATATATATATATATATATATATATATTGCATATATAAGCATGTCCCTCCTCAAAACAAGCAACAATGACTAATATAATTAATCAAATCAAATTTAATCAATTAAATATTCAATGGCGTAAAAGCAATGAATCGTATACAATTGCTTTATTTATAAATATTTTATACATTTTGAATGATTGAAAGCAGCATATGAGTCATTGAACAATGATTTGAAATCTTAGACTATATATTATGCGCAAATGGAAATCACACGGATAACAGAAACAGCGGTTAAACAAAGATATAATTTACAAATCAAAGCAGAAAATCATTTTGTGTTTTGATCAGTCAATATAGAGAGTACACACACTTTCTCAGTGGGAGCCATAATACGTTTTAAAACTGAGGCGGTGGTTGTTTTTTTTTCTAATTTTATTATTAGTTTGTTAGATTATGTATACAGTTGACATCACAAATCTAGGAGGAGGGGCTCCAAAACAATGTGGTCAAATCACCGGGTAGGAGATGATTTAATTCGCCACTCTATGATTATATGGTTATTAAAAGTTGGTGTAAAATTTAATTATAATTGAAGTAATGTCCCTATATTTTGGTCTGCCTCCATGTCAGATATATCTAAGTTGCCTTTTTGAACCTGGGAGTCCATCCTAACTAGAGCTCAAATGTTTCTGTGACCATATTGCAATTTTATAATTTGCTTTTTTAAATGTTTGATATACAAGAGATTACAATAGTGTAACTAGGCATGCTGCAAATATGATGGGGCAATTACCATTAACGGTGTGAAGATTGGACGTAGTAGCATTAACCACATCAGACCGTCGTGTATGGAGTAGTAGGCTACTTTAGGAAGTGCAAAGTTATGGTTTATGTCCATGTTGAGGTCATAGGCCAGATAGAAAATAACTTGAGGAACCACGAGAAAAAAGAAGAGCAAGGCAAGGGAAAGGATTTTGTTTTTTTCATTGTTGATAACTACTGGTGTTGTTGTGATGTGAGGGTTGGGGTTGAGTCCTATAACTACATTGTTAACTTGGGTGTTGTTCATAGCTGGGGTGTAGGTGGGCGGACTAATATAGCTGGGTGGTGGATACTGTTGTGGATAATTGGTATATGGAGCTGTCTGTGGTGGATAATTATATTGTGGAGCAGTAGGTGTTGGATGGGTGTTTTGTGGGGTCATCTCTGGTTGCTTGTTGTAACCGTCAATAACCGGTGCACCTTGCGTGTTCCATTGTGACACCTGGTTAGAAAAGACCTGGTTTTGCTGTGGGGTCAGCTCTATCTGCTGTTGTGGAACGTGATCCTTCTTTATACATGAAACACAGATAGCTGTGACAAGGGCTATGACCGCGGGTAGAATGGTGGATACAATACCCGCAGCTTGAAGCCTGGAAATGGGGAACACCCCTTTGCATGTTTCCATGTCCATGTATGCCATTGTCAGTGGTAGTATAATCACAAGACCCAGAATCCACGGGACGCAACTGATGGCAAACCCCCTCAGTATATCTGTTTGAGTTTTCGTTCTTTGACTGTTTGATCTACAGCGGTGCATATACTCTGCTGATAAAACAACGAGCCCAGTCCCATGGACAAAGTTGATGAGATGTGTTTGATAAACACCAACCGTGAGCAATAAACTACAAGTTAACTCCCCTATGGCGAAATCTTGAAACAGTGTTCTGGTTGATACCACCATTGAAAAAAGAGCCAGGAAAATGTCACCTATGGACAATGACACCAGTAAGAGATATTTAGCGCTGTAGAAAAATTGTTTCTGTCTCCAAATTCTGAAGATCAACGCCCCGTTGCACAGTACTATGACGATGATGAAAACGATGTGAAGAGCTTTGGTAGTTTTAATGTAAGCATCGAAGTCAAAGTCTGGGGTATTCAGTAAATCCATTGCTTGGTGTTTGTTTTCTTTCTTTGCCGGATAACCTAAATACAACAAACAGTAATTATGAATACTATATAATTGTAAATGATTGCGTTCAAAATTCATCCACATCTGCTCAACACGGTGAATATAAAATTGTTAAACGACGTAGCTATCATGGTGATCATTTATACATTTGATAAACGTGTTTCGTTAAATGTTTAACTCCAACAAACAACACACACAGCAGTGTTTGTGTCTGAAACTGATAAGATAAAACGGTCACTTGATGTTTTAGTTAATCAAAGGTAACATTGGCACATTGCCTGGGAAAGCCAAGTAGTTTTAATTCTACTGAGATATGTGTGGGTTGTTTTTTTATCACTAGACCCAATGGGCGCCCAGACATTTAATCTTAGCTGGTTTGCTCAAGTTACATGTTTAGCCCACTCTCCTCGTTTTGATTAGTCGTTTTGTTTTATCAATACGAAAAAAAAAGTAAATCGTATAAGATTAGAAGTGCACTGCATAGTAAAGTAAACTTCAGGAAGTATGTTGTTATTTGTTTCCTAGTTACTATCACAACTGATTATCTGGTTCAAGCCATAACAAACTTTTTGTTAGCGTACAGACCTACAAGAGTTCACTCTATCACCTAGAGATAGTGAAGGTCTTTATGCATAAAGACTTAAACATAGTTCTACAGAAAAAATTAAAAAGAGAAAACGCATGTATTTTGTTTGCAAGACCGTGAGTATCATAATTTTAAAATTATAGAGCCCACTCCTGTCAGAAATATATCAGATGATCAATTTTGGATCAGTGTTCAAAATAGAACAAAATAGCGAGTATATTGGTAATACTAATGCTTTTTAACAAACAAATATTTACATAACTACAAAAATATAAACAACAATTTCAAAGCTTTAATTCTGATGTAACTAATTTATGTGACGTGAATAAAACTTTACTGTGGCATAAATCCTAACATGTGTTGATAAACTTCGTTTATATTTTATAACTAATAAAATTATAAACAGGTTTTTCAGTGTTTTTTTTAAAGAATATTCTTCAGTCTTTTTTTATTTACTTGAATTGATTACCACTTATAAGATTAAACAAAAAAAAACATTATGTACACTTAAAAAAATTAAAATTAAAATGTACTGAATAAATTACAAAATTTATTTCGATTTTGTAATATATTTTTACAGTTCAACTATTATGTATTGTTTTATATAAAATATTTCTTTTTTACATTAGGAAGAATTTTTTAAAAATAAAATACCTTCAATGAAAACTTTCGGTAACAATTTTCACAAATAACGGACGATGTAAAATGGTAGTTCCTCCAGTTATTTTTCTCTGTTCTCTCTCAGTTGTTGGAACTAGCACGGAGCTTATAGAGGTGTTGCACTAAGAATAGCGAGTACACTCTATGACGTCAATGCCTGTCACGGGTTCTACGGCTGTCACGTGGGAGACCCGTCACCATCTGCTGAGGACTGAGCTCTGGTTCAATTTATAAGGCTTGCAATCTGGGTCAAAACATGGCCGGTTGTTGACGTATAGAAGCCAATCCTGTAGGCACCTTATCGGAGTTGTGTACAAAATAATACTGGGGAAATATACGTTGTCTAATAATAGAGTCCGACCTATTTTAAAATATCGACGCTTGTGACTCATTCAGTAGATTTATCTTAATCTAAAAAATACATATCGACTATAGACGTCATCTGCGTTGTGTAATGTAATGGTTTACGTGGTAAAAATAGATTGTTAGAGATAAGTACTTTTGTATTGTAAACATGTATTAAATGACCAAATGGATCCTGTATGTTGTGCGCACAACATTTATCTACACGTTACCTCATGTAGAGTAGCGCCATTTGGATTATCACGTGGGTCCTGACTTCGACTAAAGCCTAACCAAATGCTTGTCTAATTTTAAAACATCAGCGTTGGTCAGAGTATGGACATATTTGCAAGTCAGTTTATTAGTTATGAGCTCATTGTTACTTGTACTACACGTGTGAAATACAAAATGAACAAACGTATTGATAAACGATCGAACACAACAAGAAATTAATCGGAAAGACACACAAACCGAAATAAGCAGTACTATATATAAACCATAGTATTTCAAGCTTGAGAAAAACCTAAAACAGATGCATAGACAATCTAAATGTTTCGTGCACTTATATTTAAATCAAATTTATCAGCACTGTCGTATGCAATTTTTTTTTAAAATATACTGTTGGAAACATAAAGTATCACAAACAGGAAATTGCGTTTAATTTTGTATTGTTGAAATATTTCTTAACGTCCGGTAATATTAGCCTTTCATCTATCTATTTGTCCCCGCTCCCATGGCTGAATGACTTTCAGCACAACAAATACGATCAGGTTAAATTGACAGGTAAAGCAAATCCGGGTCATGTCTTCAGTGCAGATCGCTGATAAAGTGTTAATCTATAATCACCAGTTGATAATTTCGGCTTTCCAATGTTTTTATTTCCTCGCCCCTACTTAAGGAAAGATCGATTGGCTACTAGATCAAAATATGTGTGTTACTTCACATCTGTGTGTAGCTCAAACATATAGGTGCTGCTTAAAAAATCTATTTTGGCTTGGCATATGTGAGTGGCTTAACATTATCTGTGATTTCTGTGAAGTCAGTGGGGCGTGACGTATTTGTACGGTTTAGCACATGTGTATGCCCTGGCATGTGTGTGGCTAGATATCTGTGTGTGTGACTTGACATTGGGTGTGGATTGACATCTGTTTATGACTTGACATTTTTTGGAGGGCTTGCAATTAGTGACCATAATAGTACTGGTTACACCATAATCTAAGTTAGGGACCCTAATAGTTCACAAAAATAATTTTAACTTTTGATTCATATATTTTGAATCATGCAAAGAACACTGATCAAGGAAATGTAAAATATAACTTAATAACGTTTAGCCATGCAAACAAAAATTATGTATAAAACTTTTTAACCGATGCAATTTTAGACTGAAAGGCAAATGTGATTCCAGTTTAAGAATGCCATTTTTGCAATACCATTTCTATGTGTACAGATTGTGTAATACCGTTCCCTGCCCTCGTTCCAACCTCACCAGTATTTGTCAATAAGGCCAAATTTCAATGACAGGTTAGTGTGGATATATTTAACGGTTGGGACGATAATATCCAGGTCATAGATTGATAGCAGTTCACAAAAGTCAATAGTTTCTTCAAAAGATGTCGAAATGTGTAGGTTAAGCTACAAGTTAAGTGGAAAAACAGGTTTAGCTAAGTATGTTATGGTGTAGTTGACTCGGGTGTAGTAGATTTTACTACATTTGTTTTTTATGTAGTAGGCTTAAATGTAGTAGGTTCTGGTGTAGTAGGCTCTGATATAGTAGATTTTAGTACATTAGTTTCTTATGTAGTAGGCTTTTGTGTAGTAGGTTCTGGTGTAGTAGGCTCTGATATAGTAGATTTTACTACATTAGTTTCTTATGTAGTAGGTTTTTGTGTAGTGGGTTCTGGTATTGTAGGTTCTGTTGTAGGTTTTACTACAATCGTTTCTTAGGTTTTTGTGCAGTGGGTTCTGCTGTAGTAGGTTCTACTACAATGGGTTCTTGTGCAGTAGGTTATTGTATAATGGGTTATTGTGTAGTAGGTTCTGGTGTTGTAGGTTGTACCGTTGACGATATACTATAGTATGTTCTGGTGTAGTAAACTTAATGTTTTTATTGCGTGAAATTATTAACCTTAAAGAAACCATTAAAAACTTTTTCAAAGTATAGTAAAACATGAGCACTTTGTTTAGTTTAGTCTTAAAGTTGGTGATCTCAACAAAAGCCTTCTGTAACTCTCATAGATTTGAAGCCCGTGATTTAGTCAGTATTCTGGTCATAAAACGAAAATATTTACTCTAAATACTAGAAATAGCCCTTAAATATATATATTCCATATAGGCCTACTAAACAAAGCATCTAAATATTTGGTCCGTATGTCAAACAAAGCCCTAAAAATGAGTCCTTATGGTAAGACACATAACTAAATATTAAGTCCATGTGCTTGAAACGTCATACATGTTAAGTTCCCATTCGGGACACAAGTCGAGATTGTAATTTAGGTTTATTTTAAACTGTAAACAAATAAGTTTCTATAGCTATATTTAATCATACTGATTTATTCTTGTATTTGCATGTGTAATACTGATATTATTTAAGAGCTGCGATCGTATAAAGAGCAAGCTGTCTGTTTAATGCGCCGGCCACATCTGTTATTCAGTTGACTTAAACTCCAGTGGTCTCCAAGCTACGGCCCGCGGGCCTGATGCGGCCCGCGTAGTCCTCTCATCCGGCCAGCGGAGATTTTTTTGTCCAAGGAAAAATCGTTTGTTGGTGATTGTTGAGGAACTTTGCCCAGAAAAATCAAAGACATGCCTGGAAGAAACTGGCCCCCGAACTGAAATTTGATAGTTAATGAGGCCCTCAGACTGAAAAGTTTGGAGACCCTTGGTGTAGAAGACAGGTCATTCAGGGGATTTAAATTTCCATTCAGGGGATTTAAATTTCGGTCACCCGAACACTAATCGTTTCAGCCATCAACAGCAACAATTAAGGAAATAATAAAGGTTACATTCAAATTTTTACTAATAGACGTCACATTCTTGATTGGGAATCATTATTAAAATAATTGATGCGAATGAGTGATGCTTATACGTAGAAAAACGTCACACAAATAAATAGCTGATTAAACCATGTACAATCGAGGCTAGAAAAGCATAACAAGATGTTGTCGTCATTTAAAATCTGCATCGATTGTACATTACCTGTCTGAAGTCCTGAAATTCAAGGTAACCATGTGTAACATTTTAATGCTTGGTGATTGGAAAAAAACGAAATGCTAACAGTACGTTGACTTGATATACATATTATTTTGGCTCGTCTTTAGAATTGTGATTGTAATTAGACACAGATTTAACTAAGCTCTCAAGCGTCTACAAACGTACAATAACCATTATAATTATTGATCCTTAGCAGGCTTAGAGACTGCAGGGACAGCAAAGTTTTTTAATGGTGTGAAGCAAAAAGTGATCGATATTGTGATAAAATGCAGAAGTGGTCAGTTTTGTGATAAGATACAAAAAGTGGTCAGTTTGGCGATTAGATATAAAAACAACAAATACAGAACTACTCGTTTGTTCCCTATTAGAATGACATATATTTTCCCCTTTACATTGGTGTGTACTTCTACTTTACAATACATGTACACTGTACAACCAAAGACATAGTCCATGAAATACACAAATCTTTCTCTAATAGCCAGCAGCATCAATGATGAGAGCGTACATTAACACCACTTAAAAAAAGGACATTAAGAGCCATCTTTCCTGAGCCGCACAAAGACAAACCGGTTCAATAAGTAAAGATTATTGATCTCCTGCAGTCACATACCGAGTTCGGTACAAGGTAAGGCATTTTTACATTGACGGTTTATAGTCTCTAAAACTAACATCTATGAGTATATTTTCTAAAAATCGTAGTGAATTTCAGTGATGAAACATGTTGTCATATTGACATATGCTGAATTTAATTGAAGAGATTAGCACCATGACAATCAGCAGATTTTCTCAGACATAAGGAATGTTAGTTCGGTTGATTTCTTGCTCGCTTACTTAGGGTCCTACCTCACTGCCTAACGCATATATATATATATATATATATATATATATATATATATATATATATATATATATATATATAAAGAGTAATTATATAAATATATATAAAGAGAAGTTTACAAAAATCTCCGAACATTACAAACGTAACATAATAGTTTTGTCACAACAAATTTGCAGCAAGTGAAATTTGTGATCCCGCAATTGAACCTAAAAGGCAAGGATCTTTACAATGCATATCAGTTCACTGAAACTGGCAGATTAAAACATCAAGTGTCTCCCGTTTTTGACACACATTTCCCACCTTAATAGGATTTAAAGCTAAAGTAAGTTATGTCCCCTTTCAAACAGTCTTAAGTCCGACCGAGATTCGAACTTAAGACCTTCGGGCTAACACTTCAGCGCTCTAACACCCGGCTTTACTTTTCACAAGCTGCATTAGCAGAGCTTCATAACTGTGTCAATCTGACCATCAACATAACTGTGTCAATCTAACTATCAACATAACTGTGACCATCTGACCATCAACATAACTGTGACCATCTGACCATTATCATAACTGTGTCATCTGACCATCATCATAACTGTGTCATCTGACCATCAACTTAACTGTGTCATCTGACTATCAACATAACTGTGTCATCTGACCATTAACATAACTGTGACCATCTGACCATCAAAAAAGCTTTGACCATTTCATATCGATTTTTAGTATAATAAAAAATAGTAATTTTGTATCAGTGAAAATAATGTAATATGATGTTTAGTAATTTAACAATATTCTACTCAACAATCTATTCATTAAACGATGTTTTAAATGC